TAACTGGCAGACTTATTAAGATGTCATTTCTTCTTACCAACTTGATCTATAGATTCAACACCATCTCAATTAAAATCTCAGCAAGGTAGTCTTTATATGGAAAGGCAAAAGACCAAAGCAGTCAACACAATAATGAAGAAAAAGAACAAGTTTGAAGGACTCACACTACTACCTGATTTCAAGACTTACTATAATGTAATTAAGATGCTTCTTTGTAGTGGCAGAAGAATAGACACATAAATAAATGGAACAGGACAGAGAGCTCAGAAAATCACACACACAAATGTCCTAATCTTTGACAAAGGAGCAAAGGCAATTCAGTGGAGAAACAATAGTCTTTCAACAAATAATAGCACGCCCCTAGTCCAAAAAAAAAAAAAAAAAAGAACCCAAATACAGACCTTTCACAAAAATTAACTCAAAATGAATTACAGACCTACATGTAAAATTCAAAACTTTAAAAATTCTAGAAGACAACAAAGGAGAAAATCTATATGGCCTTGGGTTTGGGAATGAGTTTTTGATACAACTCCAAAAGCATGAGTCACAAAAGAAAAAAGTTAAATTTGATTTTATTAAAATAAAAAGATGTCTGCTCTGCAAGACAGAATGAGACACTTAAGAGAATGAAAAAACAAACCACCAACTGGGAAAAATCAGCAAACCACATATTTGACAAAGGACTTGTATCCAAAATATAGAAAAACACCTAAAATTCAATAAATAAATAAAGCAAGCTAATTTAAAAATGGACAATGAATTCTAACAGGTAACTCACTAAAGAATGGCAGGTAAGTATATGAAAAATGTGCAACATCATTAGTCATTAGGGAATTGCAAATCAAAACCACTACACACATATTAGAAAGGCTAATATTAAAAAAATGACTAAACTAAATACTGATTAGTATGTGAAACATCAGGAACTTTCATTCATTGCTGGTGAATGTTTATAGCAGCTTTATTCATAATCACCAAAATGTGTGAGTAACCAAGACGATCTTCAATAGATGAATGAATTTTAAAAAAACCTGATACATCCATGTGATAGTATATTATTCAGTAATAAAAAAGAAATGAGCTCTCAGGCCATAAAAAGATATAAAGGAACCTTAAATGTATATTGTTAAGTGAAAGAAGCAAGTCTGGAAAGGCTACATAATGTATCTCCGATTATATGACATTCTGGAAAAAGCAAAACAATAGAGACAGTAAAAAGGTAGGGGTTGCCAGGAGTTTGGGGAGTGGGCTGAATAGATGAAACACAGAAGATATTTAGGGTGGTGAAATTATTCTGTATGATACCATAATAGTGGATACATGACATTATGCATTTATCAAAACCCATGGATCTTTATAGTACAGAGAGTAAACCTTAATGTATGCAAATTAAAATATCATTTAATAGGTTTGGGGAGCCCGGGATGGAATCCCAGACTGTGTAAAGAGAATATAACTGTATTATAAATATATGAAACAATCTCACTGAAGGGAATGGGAGGAAAAGTTGCTAAGTAACTTTGGATATGAATGAAGTCTGAAGGCTTAAGGCAAAAGGACATGGACATAAACACTACACTCCAGTTGATAACAAAGTTTTTTCTCATGGGGGTACAGGGTTAACAATATTGATATAAATACTGGTATTGATATAAATGCATACTGGAAATTAACAATGAAGTGGCTCTTTATCTTGACCTCATGCTATTCCTATCAGTCATTATCAGTGTCTTCAGTATTTAGTGTTCTGATACTCAAAGGGAAAAATGAAGGAAGGAAAAGAGAGAAGGGCAGAGAGAAAAAGAAAAAGAGAGACAGGGACACCTGGGTGGCTCAATCAGTTAAGCATCTGCCTTTGGCTCAGGTCATGATCCCAGGTCCTGGGATGGAGCCCCATATTGGGCTCCTTGCTCTGCAGGGAGTCTGCTTCTCTCTTCGCCTGCCATTCCCCCCTGTTTGTACTCTGTCTCTCTCTCTAACAAATCAATCTTTAAAAAAAAAAGAAAACGAGAGACAGAGTGAAAGGGAGGGAGGGAGGAGGGGAGGAAGGAAGGAAGAAAGGAAGGAAGGAAATTTTTTGTATATAGTGTTTAAGGGTACCTGGAAAAAAAAAGTTCCTATTCAATTATTTTTCATATTACTCTCTGCTATCTGTTTTTTATAAATAATTTGGACCATGTGTGGTAATATGTTCAGCAGAGGTGAATTTTGGCTAAGTTTCATTTGAATAGAGACAAGCTCTATATTTTATTCCTGGATTCACCCCTGAATCACTGAGTTTAATTGGATATAGTCATTTTAATTCGGGGAGCCTCAAATTTGACTTCAATAAAATGAGAAGGTATCTCTTTCCTAAGGTCACCTCACATTTTAAAGGGCTACGCTGCATGCAATTGTAACTCTATATAGATTCATGTTTTTCCTTTAGTGCATATGCTACACCATAGAATTGAGATCAACTGACGGAGATAATTCTGAGGTTATTACTTTTTTTTATGTTCAGTCTTCATGGATTTGCAAGGAGTTAGACAGTTCTTATGGATTCTAATTCCCCATTAATACAGGATATAGTAATCAGCAGAGGGCGGTAGAACTCTAGCAATGAAAACAGTAGCCCAGTATAAGCTCTGCACAGGTTGCTTCTGCGTAATTATTACTGCATAGATTTTTTAACTTGTTTAGTTTATATTTTAACAACTCATGTATAAATAAATGTATGCACGTGCATCCTCAGTGAGTAATTAGAAATTAGCTATTATTATTATAAGCTATTGTTATCATAAATATTTTGGTATAGCATTTTTCAAAATAGTTAAATCACAAAATTTAAAAGAATATACAACCAACTGAGGGCTGCTGGAGGGAAGGGGGTGGAGGGATGGGGTAACTGGGCGATGGACATTGTAATGAGCACTGGGTATTATAAAAGACTGATGAATCACAGACCTGTACCCCTGAAACTAATAATACATTATATGTTAGTTACAAAATTAAAATAAAAAAATAAAGAAGCCAAATTATTTCAATTACAATGAGAATATCATGAAATTAGTTCTTTTCATAAGCAGATGAGAATGTTTATATTAGTAAAATAAGTAAATCAATATCTACGCAGAGTTTAAAATTCAAAATAGGCATGCTTCCAGCTATGAATGATTTTTTAAGTTTTCCTTTTATTTTATATCATCTGTGAAGAATCAGAAATGAGGTACCAAAAAAAGGACAGCCCCATTTTGGAGCTACATCCCAGAGACCTTACTAATTCTAAAGGGTGTTGTATGTAAATTTGGGGAAATAATTCATTTTTATTTCCATTTAATTATTTGTATTATAGCTTTATTGAGATATAACTTACATACAACAAAACTACACATTTTAAAAGGTTATGGTCTAAAAAATGTATTCACCCAACTAAGGAATATACAAATAAATTTGTAGAACATTTCTATCACCCCAAAATGTTCCTATATGCCTCTTTAACCGATTTATGGTACTGGACTTTATATAAATAGGATCATGCAATATATACTTTTTTTGTGATTGGTTTCTTTTGCTATGCATAGTGAGTGGTTTTTTAGGACTTACACATGGAATATCATGTGTAAGATTTATATCCTACTCCTATTTATGGCTGAGTAATATTCCTTTATATGATATATCACAATTTGCTTATCCATCCACTGGTTGAACATTTGGGTTGTTTCAGTTTTGGGCTATTATAAATCAAGCTTCCAGGAACATCTATGTACAACTCTTTGGTTAGATATGTATTTTTATACCTTTTGAGTAAATACCTACAAGTGCAATCACTGGGTCCTATGGAAGGTGCTCATTAACTTTATTAGAAACTGAGCAGTTGTTTTTCTAAGTATTTGTACTAGTTCTCATTCCCACCAACAGTGCATTCAAACTCCAGTTGCTCCACATTTTCTCAAATATTTGGTATCATCAGTCATTTTAATTTCAGTCATTCTATGATGTGTATAGTGGCATTTCATTGTATTTATAATTAGTTATTCCTTGATTAATGATATTTTTTAAAAGATTATTTATTTATTTATTTGACAGAGAGAGACAGAGCACAAGCAGGGGCAGCTGTAGGCAGAGGGAGAGGGAGAAGCAGGCTCCCTGCTGAGCAGAGAGCCTGAAGTGGCCCTGGATCCCAGGACCCTGGGATCATGACCTGAGCCAAAGGCAGATGCTTAACTGACTGAGCCACCCAGGCACCCCCCTTGATTAATGATATTAAACATCGTTTAAAAAAAAACCAAAAAAACCTTTGTACTTTGATCATTTGTTTAGCTTCTTTTATGAAGTGTCCAAATCATTTGCCTTTTTTTTTTTTTTTTGATTTGGACTACTTGTTTTTGTGTTCAACTGTAAGAGTTCTTTATATATTCTTTATACACATTCATACATAAGTATTATGCTTTTTTATACATTTTTGATACAATTTGTATTAAGCAGAAAGCAGAATGATTTGACATTTTTTTGTCATTTGTAAATATCAGGAATATTTTCTCCCACTCTGGTGGCATGGTTTCTCACTTTCTTAACTATCTTTAAAAGAGCAGAAATTATTAGTTCTGATAAAGTACAGCTTATAGAGTTTTTCTTATTTAATTATGTGCTCTGGTTTATGATCAGATCAGTGATCTGATCTAAAAAAAATCTTTGCTCAGTCCATTGTCATGAATACTTTCTGTTTTCTTTTTGAATGTTTAGAGCTTTTAGGTATAACATTTAGAAATGTGATCTATTTTGAATTAATTTTTATGTAGTCTGTGAAGAGTTGATGTGTATTGTTCTCCTTATAGATATCCAGTTGTTCTGGAACCATTTTTTTAAGAAGATTACCCTTTCCTTTTTAATTATTTTGGCACCTTGTAAAAACCATCAACAGACTCTATGTGTTGGTCTATTTCTAAAATATCTACTTTGTTCCAGTGAACTTTATTCTTTTTTTTTTTTTAAGATTTTATTTATTTATTTGACAGAGAGAGAGAGCACAAGTAGGCAGAGAGGCAGGCAGAGGGAGAGGGAGAAGCAGACTCTCCACCGAGCAGGGAGCCCGACGTAGGGCTCGATCCCAGGACCCTGGGATCATGACCTGAGCCGAAGGCAGATGCTTAACCGACTGAGCCACCCAGGTGCCCCCCAGTGAACTTTATTCTTATCTTTTGGCCAATACCACACTGTCTTTTTTTTTTTTTAAGATTTCATTTATTTTTTTTTAAGATATTATTTATTTTATTTATTTATTTATTTATTTATTTATTTTTTTATTTTATTCATTTGAGAGACAAGGAGATAGAGAGCATGAGAGCGGGGAGGGTCAGAGGGAGGAGCAGACTCACCGCTGAGCAGGGAGCCCCACGCGGGACTCGATCCCGGGACTCCAGGATCATGACCTGAGCCGAAGGCAGTCACTTAACCAACTGAGCCACCCAGGTGCCCAATACCACACTGTCTTAATTACATAACTTCATAGCAGTAGTGCTCAACTGGGGATGATTTGGACTACAGGAGACACTTGGCAATGTCTGGAAACATTTTTAGTTGTCACAACTATAGGGGGTGGGAGATGCTACCGGCATCCACAGTACAGGAGCCAAAGATGCTGCTAACCAGCTAACAATGCACAAGAAAGTTCCAGGGAAGAAAGAGTTGTGTAGCCCAAGATATCAAATGTGGCCAGGTTAAGAACCCCTTCTTTATAGCAATTTTTAAAAGCAATTAATATAAATCCCTCAACACTGTTCATTTTCAAAATCATTTCGGCTTTGTTAGGTTATTATATTCCCTTATAAATTTAAAATCAGCTTGCAAGATTAAAAATAAAAAATCTGGAAGGATTTAAATTGAGATTTTATAGATCACTTTCAGGGGAACTGACATCTTAATAGCTTTGAGTTTTCTAATCAATGAACATGATGTATCTCTCCATGTATATAGACCTCTTTAATCTCAACCAGTGTATTTTAAGTTGCAATGTACAAGCCTTGCACATATTTTATTAAATGATACTGAATATTTAATTTTCTTTCATGCTTTTAAAAGGGCATATTTATTTTATTTTACATATTATTCATGAATAGTTTATTCATACTTAACAAAATACAATTGCTTTTTCTGTATTGATCTTTTATCTTTGATGGTTTTAAATTCATTTCTTATTTCTAAAAGCTTTTTAACATATTTCTTAGGGTTTTTGATGTCTAGATATCATGACAGGTTATTTTTCCTTTTCAATCTCTTTTTGTTTCTTATTCTTTGTTTCTTATTGATTCTTATTGAATCCTATTGTTTCCTATCCTTGTACCCTACACTGGCTAGGACTTCTAGTTCAATAATAAACAGATATGACAGTGAATATCCCTGTCTTATTTTGCTTAGGAGAAAACATTCAGTACTTCACAAAATATATTAGCTGTAGGGTTTTGTAGATGAACTTTATCAGATTTAGAAAGCTTCCTTCTTTCATACTTGCTAAGAGTTTTTGTTTTTGTTTTGTTTTGTTTAATCATGAATGGGTATTGAATATTGGCAAGTGCCTTTTTTCCATCCATTGAGATGATCGTAGTTTTTTTTTTTTTTTTCCTTTATTCTGTTCAGGTGATGAATTAGATTCATTGATTTTTGAATGTTAAACCAAATACGTATCCTTGGGATAATCCTACTTGGTTATGATATATTTCCTTTATATATAGTATTTAATTTAATTTGCTAAAATGTCATTAAGGACTTTGTGTCATGTTCATAAGATCTTCAAAGTTTTTTTGTTCTCTTGTTATGTCTTGGTCTGTTTCTGTCATGACAAGGCTGGCCTCAAAAAAGCATTTCTTCTCCTTTGTTTTTAAAAAAGTTTGCATATGGATTGGTACTATTTTTTCCTAAAGAATTCAACAGTGAAGTTCTTTCTAAGAAGGTGCTTATATGAATTTGATTCCATACAAATATATACACATACACACACATACACATACAATAATTCAGAGTTTCTATTGCTTCTTTTTTAAGTTTTGATTATTCGAGTCTTTCATTTATCTATTTTAAGCCATAAAATTGCCATAAATTTGTTCATAATATTTATAATAAAAAGTCTGACTATATTTTTTGATGTTTGAGTGCTGACAGCTTTTAAACCTCAGCCCTCTGCCTTTCCCTTCTGTTTCATATCTGGGAAAGCCAGTAAGTGATTCTGTATGTTACTTCCTTTGATATCAATGGGAGTTTCAAACCATGCAAGCCCCTGTCTACACAAGGGAACCCCCATCCCAACCCCATACCATCACCACAACTTAAAAACAAAAACAAAAACAAAAACAAAAAAACAAATCAATCTCCTTTCCCTGGTCTCTCAAACCATTTTTAAATAGCTTGGGTTCTTGCCCTGCTCTCCCCAAAAGCTTCATTATGCAAGTAATAAACATTTTCATATCTTCTTGGCATGCATAGGCAGCATTAGTCTTGACATCTGAACCAAATTTTGTGTAGCAATCATACTGCTTCTGAAGAGTGATCATAATATGTTTGCTTACTATTTTTTTAAAGTTTCTTAGATTTGTAATGCTGTCACTTTTTCATTCCTCATCATAATCAATCTACATAGAGGTATATCAATTTTATTAATCTTTGTAAAGAACTGCTTTTGGGTTTATTTTCTCTGTTTTTTAGTTAATTGCTACTCTTTATTACATTCTGTACTATTGAGTTTAATTTACACTTCTTTTTTTCTCATTGTTTAAGTTCTAATCTTATTTTTAATTTTATGTTGTTTTCTTTTACCTAATAAAAGCATTTATCATAATGCAGTTGTTTCATGTATTTTGTTTACTTTCTAGTTATTTATGGCAGGAGGGCAAGTACGGTACCTTTTACTCCATTATAAAAAAAAAGAAATATAAGACCTTTCACTGCATTAATTTTTTGCATTAATTTTTAATCAATCTAAAAAATTCTTCTCTATGCTTCATACTTCCCAAGTAGAACTTGCTTTAGTTAACTCAGTGATCATGCTACTATAAAAAAACTAAGTTGTTCAAACTTAAGAGACTACTCTTATGGATTGTCTCAAAGAGAATTTTTGCAGACAGTCCTTTTGAGGTTATCTAATGGCAGACATTCTAGCTTTATCAGATATTTTTTTCTTATGTAATTTTATATCCAGATTGTTACCACTGTTTCTTTTCAGAGTTGGGAGGCCAAGCTTGTTAACCTATGATTGGAATTCCTGAATCTCCTCATGGACTTGTCTTTTTGTTCTTTTAGAAAGCTTTACAAAGGACTTTAATCAGAGGAGGCTGTTTAGAGCCGTGATCACTTTATTACTGGTATTTCTTTTACTGTAGGGTCCTACCTTGATATCAGTAATTTTGGCTAGCAAGTCTCTCTCTGTCTCTGTGTCACTTTTTTTCATAACCTTTTAGAGTAATGAATTAGTCTCTAAGTAAAACAACCATCAATATTTATACATTTGTCCACCTTTTAAAAGAACACTTTATCATGCTCTAGAGAAGACCACAAATTTGGATATTTGAGACAATTTGATTTCTGATAGGAGATTGGATGTTACAAGACAGTCTGGAGTAGTTATTGAATATTCTGCCTAGTTATTGTCCCTTTTTATTTTAAAATAGGACCCATCAATAAACACTATTAAATCAGGAGTTGTCATGGAATTGTCCAAAATATCCATTTTGTTCATGGATATTGCTTAAGCTTGAGAAACACAATTCTGGGCTTCTCCTTTATTGGTTAAGACTAAGAGAGTTAGTGTATAGAAAATGTTAATTTGATAGTAAGATGAGGAGAAAATTAGACTTCATAATAGGAAATAAACTAGTTTGGTGTTTTCATTTAGCAATAGAGAGTGTGCTGCATGTTGAACCCTCAGGTAGAAGGTAGTCTTCATTTAAAATCTGATAATGCTTTGATAATTTAGTTGAGGCTACAGATAGATAGTCTCAGGCAAATGAAAATAAACTTTGGTTAGTGGATGAAGATAAAGTCTATAATAAGCATATGTCTTTAGTTTGTGTTAAGTTTTTTACTTGATAGTCCTAAATCATGCCTAACATGTTCATGTACATGCCAAAAAAAAGTTTAAGATAATCAGGAAAAACTCATCTGAATTCCTACAGGCTTTTTTCCACTTACTGTGTTTTGCCCTGGGATTATAGCCCCTTCTCTGGTTACTTCTAGAATTATGCATATTGATGTCCACATCAGCTATATTATGGAACTTCTAAAAATAGTCCTATGGTAAATGTTATCTGGTAGCCCTATTAGAAAGTAGATTCCTATCTATTTATTAAATTGGCAGGGGTCACATAACAAAGAATAAAGTAGTTTGCTTATAATAGTAATCTCAAAGTACAATTATAGGTTGGCACTAAAGGATTTAGGATTGCAGGAATGTTCACTACTTAAATGGCTTTTATAAATAAAGGCAAAATATGTTCACTTTCCCTGAAGACTTGTACTACTGAATGTATACATTCAAGGCTGTCTTTTATTATCTTCTGGCTCCACCAGACATTTTTACTATAAGCAAAAATACATTTTCCTCTCTTTCATACTTACTACCATTCAATTTGCTTTATTTCGTGATTTTTAGATAACTGTGCTCTGTGGGATCTGATGTTCTATGGTAGTGGAATTAATAAAATATATAATGATACACATATTTTTAAAAAGACATTAGTGGCCATTTATATTGATAGATAATTCTCCTTGGGAGCTTACAGGGTAAACAGAGAATTGTTGGAAACCAGTCTGTCTTATGAGTGAAATCACAGGACAGAATTTGGATAGCCACCCTTCTTTTCTTAGGAAGTGTGCGAGGTTGTTTCTTCCAATGATCCTTCTGTTTGTAATACCTGTGTCTTTCCACTGGCTCTCAATTCTAAGAAATCGGAGGACCTTTTGGTCCTGTTTTTATTTTGAAGGCCTGTAGTTTGTCTGGAGGACCATAAGTGTTTTTAATTCTGGTTCATTTACTTTCTGAGGCTCATTGAAAAAATGTCAGCCAAATTAAACAGCATCTAACAATTTCCTATTATAATTTTAGGTGTGAGCTTATAAAAGACAGAAAAAGATTCCATCTATTTTTTTCCTCATGTATCTGCCACAGAATATTTTTTAAAAACTAGTCTAATCTTAAAATCTCTTATTGATTCACCTCTATTTTGTTTGCAATTTTGAATCTTTGTTTAATCTACTATTTAAAAAAGGATTCTGAAATGGCCTTATCAAGTGTATTTCATATTTTTCCCTTGATCTTTCAAAGATATTTTTAAAAGCATGCACAACTGGATTATTTGGATTTCCTCCTAGTTTTTTCCATCTTACTACTTCTAACTATGTTTCCTTATGTGAAAGGCTGACAAGTAAATTTGCTGGTACATATCTGGCAGGCCAGAATGATAAGTACCTAAGAAAATTTTGAATTTTTCAGAAAACTTCTGCCTAAATTCCTGAGGTTAAAAAAAAGAGAAAACTTTATTGCTGGCCCTCAAATTAGGTCTAGACCAGAGTTATCTGCTTCTGGAAATGAGCCTTCTGGTCCTGAAATTTTAAGGGAACATGGTACAACATGGCTGAGGAAAAGGTAGCCCATTTAAGAGGTGAGAGGCAAGAGTAAAAGGATGTAAGTGGATTATGAAGGTGAAGTAGAGAAAGATGCAAGAGAAGCAGATTTCAGAAGATTTGGAAAGTTCTAAAACAGTCTATTGCAGAGTCAGTGTTTCATTTTGAAGCTTCAGATATCAATTAAAGAGGTGACTATTGATATTTGGTATTATTTTAATTTTTTTGGCTTTCTTCAAAATAATAATAATTGTGAAACATTAAAAGTCCTCAAAACGATTTTTGTTTCTAATATCTAAACCATTTGCCAAGGACAATACAATATCTGGGGATATAGTGGGAGTTTAAGAAAGATGCATGAATATTTCCAGGAAGATGTAACAGCTTTGATGTAGATGAACCCATAATAAACAAGAGAGAACCTTTGTAAGCTGTTACATGTGTTTGTGTATAAATGATGTTCTGTGTTACCCAACCCAAGCAAAGGGCAGGAAAAGGCCATACAAACAATGATGCAATAACCTCTGACCTGGAAATGTGAATTAAACAAAGTGATCTTTTTCACAAATTGACAAAATAGCAAGTGAAGTCAAGAACTTTGAGGGCAGTGACAGCAAGATTTTTAGCCCAAAGTACCCCGAACAGTTTAATGAACCTGTAATTGTCATTCTTTTTGGCTGATTTAGATTATATTGGACGTTTACCCAGCTGGTGTCTCCTGAGTCAGGTATGTGTGTATCTCCATGACCAATGGTACCAGCATCTCCTTCAGGTCACCATGTAACTCAGTTTAGAAGCATGAGAAACACACAAGTATGTGAGTTTGTTAAGATGTCCATGCAAGGTCTAGTCCCTAATATTAGTCTCTTATTCTCTCTCTCTCATAGTGGTTCTGCTTCTCTGCATGATATGCCTATTCAAGACATGAATCCTTTCCCATTTTTTTTTAAAGATTTTATTTATTTATTTGAGAGAGAGAGAATGAGAGACAGAGAGCATGAGAGGGAGGAGGGTCAGAGGGAGAAGCAGACTCCCTGCTGAGCTGGGAGCCCGATGCGGGACTCGATCCCGGGACTCCAGGATCATGACCTGAGCCGAAGGCAGTCGCTTAACCAACTGAGCCACCCAGGCGCCCCGAATCCTTTCCCATTTTAATCTTGGTGATCTTCCACCAGTGAACTCGCACTGTGGAACTTTAGGAACTTGCACAGTTTCCTTCATGTCTAATAAATATTTTTGCTGCAATAAACAAATCCATACCCACTCACTCTTACTGTTCTTAATAGGTACTAAGCAAATACCACCATAATTCAATTTAACTGGCTCTATTTCAACCAAGATAATCTCATGCTCCTGAAACCTGATTATTCAAAGCCAACAGAACAGGATTAGAAGGGTTACTGGAGACAAGGGATGGTGTAGCCACAAGACCAATGTCTCCTTTCTTCTTGATTCAATTGCCTTCATTTCCATCTGCCTCTAATGACAGTGAAGTTTTAGTTATCCTCTTAAAACTGATTTATGTTTAAATGTAAATCGACTATACCATACAATGACTGTACAATGATATAATTGGGCATGCTGTTAAACAAGTTAAATTTGTTCATGAAATGTAACTTTGAAAATGAGATGTGTATTTTAATGAATGACAGAGCTGAGGATGAACTTTATACTGAATCTATAATGTGGATCTATGGCATTTTTCTTTTAGAGAAACATGGGAAGAACTTGGAAGAGTTATTTTCTTTGAAATTAATGCCATGGTGAATATTATCATTATCACCATAAACAGTTAAATCAAATTATAAATGAGAAATAAACTTCACCCATTGTATTCCTAACTTAATTTAAAACACTGAAACTAGAAACATAGTTGAAAACACATAAATACAGGTATCAAGTAGAACGTCTAGCCATTCCCTCAGCTGATACATGGATATATTTTAGTATCTAAAAGAAGAAAAATAGCAAACATTTGCCAGATTTAATAATCCTTTCCAGAAAAATATGAATTGAGTATCCTGTGGGGCTCTTTCTTTGTGAACATAAATTCCCCCTCAATAAATGTACTTAATAAATTCCCTATGAAATTGAATAGCTAACCTAGTTAACCATCTACCCAGAATATTCTTGCTCATCACATCCATAGTTTTGTTGAGAAGAATGACAGAAGGTCAGATCTGATAGTATTTTAAAATTTCTTCTATGCTATCTTTCCCTTAAATAAAAACAAAGGGGTTGTCATTATGCCTTCTGGAGTAGACAGAAATATAGGGAGAAAATAAATGTTTCATATCACCCTTTATATTTTGGAGGATATCAAATATCCTCTATGTTAAGGATACTCAGGCTATCATAGCAACAATGAATTGTTATTATAGTAACTGCAATTTTAGTGAAGTATGTCTGACACTTAATCTTAAATGAATACCCCAAAAATCCAGTTCAAAGAAATTGATTTACTAATTGATATTTCAAAAGTGGTCAAGAAACAAAGAAAATATACAGATAAGAACTAAGTGTATGAAAAGATGTTTAACATCGTACGTCACTAGGGAACTACAAATTAAAACAATGAGATACCAGTACACTATTAGAATGGCTAATATCTAAAACACTGACAACACAAAATGCTGGTGAGGATATGGAGCATCAGGAACTCTAACTCTTTGCTGGTGGGAATGCAAAATAGTACAACCACTCTGGAAGACAGTGTGGCAGTTTTTTTACAAAACTAAACATTCTTACCATATGATCCAGCAATCACACACCTCAGTATTTGCCCAAATGAACTGGAAACTTACATTTACACAAAAACTTGCATGCGTATAAACATGGCTGTTTATAGCAGCTTTATTCATGACTGACAAAACTTGGGGGCAACTAAGATGTCCTTCAGCGATGAATGGATAAATAACCTATGTTATATCCAGACAACAGAATTATTATTTAGCACTAAAAAAGAAATGAGCTGTCAAGCAGTGAAAAGGCATGGAGAAAACTTAAATGCATATTACTAAGTGAAAGAAGCCAACTTGAAAAGCCTACATATTATATGATTCAGACTATATGACTTTCTGGAAAAGGGATAACTATGGGGATAGTAAAAGGATTAATGAGTGCAGAGCACAGAGGATTTTTAAGTCAGTGAAACTATTCTGTATGATACCACATTGATGGATACGTGTCATTATACATTTGTCAAAACCCACAGAATCTACAACACCAAGAGTGAACCCTAATGTAGAGTATGGACTTTGAGTGATAATAATGTGTCAGTGTATGTTCATTGATTGTAACAAATGTACCACTCCAGTTCAGGAGGTCCATAATGAGGGAGGTTGTGTGTTTATGGGGGATGGGAAGTATAGGAACATTTTCTGTACTTTCTTCTCATTTTTGTTATGAACCTAAAACTTCTCTAAAAACTAAAGTTTTTTAATTAAAAAAAGTAGTGAAGATTTGATATGACAATAAAGTTAGCTTGTAAATTTATCTTGCTTTACTCAATATGTGAATATATTGCATTGAGGAACATTTATGATTAAATTCACAAATTTCTGAAATGATCAAGACTTCATTATGGGTATGCCAAATTCTACTGAAGAGATATCAAATGGTAGCAATGCTATGTACAGTTCAAAAGTCTTGGGTTCTAATGTAAATATCGTGCTTTATATTTTAAAACCAAGGATGATTTCTAAGTATTTTTTCCTAAATCTAAATTAATTCATAATCAAAATCTAGACAAGTTTTCCCTTCCAGTGTTTGATTTCATTATTGGTCTTTGATTCTTTTGGAGCTCCTCTGGAATTTTCTCAGGTCTTCAGATGTGAGAAAACTATCCAACCCTGGGATGAGAACAAGGTTTTTGACAGAAGATACTTCTTAACAAATGCAATTGTCTTGAACCTATTGTTCTTATAGTCATATTGCACCACATTTAAGTGAATTATTCTCTTTCACTTTTGTTACTCCTGCCCTCCTCCCTACTAGCTACAACCCACATTTACACACACATTGCGAAGTATTTTCTCTTTACTTTCTGAAATTTGTCCCCTACCATATTGGATAGTATAGTACATATAGTACTTTTTTCTTCATTCTCCCTCTCCTATGTGTCTTACCTTTTCTTTCCTTCCTTGTGAGATTTCCCTCAAATTCCCTCTTAAAAGTTGTTGTTCCTAGTGGTTTTCTCACCAGGTGCTAATTGTGCCAGAATTTTATTTTACTTAGTTTTATATTTTAAGATATATCTTCATTCAAATGTAGTAAAAATTTCAAAGGCAGCCAGTCAGCTCAATGGATACATTTTGTTTCAAAAAATATGACATAAAGGCCCTTTGGTTACAGAAAAATACAGTAAAAATGTACTCATTTTCTCAGGGGGATCTGACTCAAAATCAGTCCAAATACTTATATTTCAGTACCAACTACTAAATAGTCTTAGAGTAATATAAATGAGTGTTGGGATATGTGTTGGTAGACCTGAGATTTTTTTTTTCTTCATTTGTGAAAGTGAACCAATCCTTTCTTTCCAGTATGGAAGACTACTCAGGGACATCTAAACTGGAGCTGAGTGTTGGCAGGAGCAAATTGGATCAAAAAGGCAGCTTCCAGGGGCAGCTAAGTAATAAAATAGCTCAAGTGATCCTGAAGCCTAGAGTATGGATAACTGGTTGAAAGATGACCCATGCCTCAGGACATTGAGCTAACATGTGGAACATGAAAACACTCACTGGGGATTCCAGAAATAATTAGGGAACATTGGGGGTCAACTGAGGTGCTATTGGGTTAGCAGATTTGGGGATAAGAGTTCTATTCTTGATCCTCTACTCTTCATATTTTTCATGCTCTTCTTGGACAATCTTATCTATTCTTATAATAATGATTACTGAATATGTATCCAAAGAAATCATTCTTCTTTGACTTCAAACTGACATACTTAACTTCCTGCTATTCTTGGATGTTCCAGAGGCACCCAGGTACTCAAGCCAGAAACACAGGGTCATTATTAACTTCTCTTTTCCTTCACCATCCCCCACATGCAATCAATTGTTCAGTGATGTGTGTTTTACATACTATGTATTTCTCAAGCCTATCATTTCATTTCCATAAAAACTATCTCAACTCTTCTAGCACTCATTCAGGTCATGAATATGACTTTGTGCTACAAAAAAATCTCCTGCCTAGAATGTGCTATCAATGCCCTCCTTAAATCCGTAATCTATACTATAAATGGAGAGACATGCTAAAAAATTATCTATGTATGTTCTGCTTTAATGGTTATGCATTATTTAGAGAATAAAATTCAGGTGGCTTTACATAACATATGAGGCCTTCTATCATCTGATCCTTACGATTTCTCCAGTTTCACCTTCTACTATTCCCTGTCCTATACTTCACTATGTAATAACACCACACTGCTTCTAGTTTGGCTTACATACCGTTGTATTTCAGCATTCTCTGCCCTTCCATGGGTTTCCCCTTTCCTTTGCAATAGGGTAGATTATGTGGCTAAAGGTGTGAGGCCCACCATTTCCTCAAATGTACACTGGATTTTGAAACTTGAGTACTGCAAAGTTGAGTGGAGTGGTGCATTTCCTTCCATAGACTTACTTCTGTTCATTTGCATAGGCTTGAAGAGCTCTGAGAAGAAACTCCTCACAAGCAAAACAAGACTACATCAGAGAGCCTCGATCTTCACATTTTGTGGGCAATGACAGTTCTCATCAAGAGGTGGGACTAAGGGTGGACCCCCAACCAAACATAGCACCCCACCAAAATGACACCAGTGCAGCTTAGGGAAAATGCTGGGCATTAGGCCAAGTAAAGCTGAAACCCTGGGGCTGTAGGAGTAAGAGGAACTGAGAATTAAGCTTATTCTCTCCCTCTCTACCTCAGAACCATTTTTACCTTGTGGAAACCGATGTGATCTATACTGGACCAGAAGAAAGAACAAGGAACCAACTAGGAGCCAAAGAACATTGCTGGTCCACCACCAACAGTAAGTGCTTGTACTTAGCATGAGGCACACAAACAAACAAGGCTGTCAAGAGTGCTAGTGGCAGGTCCTTCCTCTGTCATTGCTGGTGTTCTACTTCTTAACTCTTAAGTTAATGATCTTTGTAACCAGCATGCTCTGCATTCCAATAACAATCTTTAAAATTTACTTTTTCATTACATTATATTCATCGGTTGTCTGTACTCTGAACTTCAACTATCTTAAAGTTTGTCACCTTCCCTTAATTATTTATCTAAGGACTATTTTTTTTCAAATTAAATATTCCTGCAGGTTCTAGGCACACTAAACTCAGTTTTGTTTTGTTTTTTTCAAAGTTGGTGGTTATTTTCATGTAGGCTATTTTTTATTTTTTTATTTTTATTTTTTTGGTTTGTATTATATCTTCTTTTTGCTTCAAAATTGTATTAAAGATAATACATATCTAGAGATTGTGTTGAAAATTCCAATAATTCTATACCTACTGATTCTGCCCTAGGTAAAGTTGTGAAGTATTTTATTTTATTTTATTTTTTTGACTCATCATTTTATTACTTCTTCACATCCAGGACTCTCAGTTTGATCATCTGGTTGCTCAGTCCTACCCTCCACTGCACATTCAAATGATAGACTTGCTGAGTCTGCCATATTTGGGCAGGTAGAAAAAGAGAAAAAAAAATCATTTTCTTTTCCTCATATTAAATGTAAACGTGGTAAAAATACTATAGTGCTTTATGTACAATTTTGTTTATTTATCTAATTTTTTTTTTTTTTGAAGATTGTATTTATTTGGGAGAGAGAAAGCAGAGCAAGAGAGAGAGCACAGGCAGGAGGAAGAGGCAGAGGGAGAGGGAGAAAGAGACTCCCCACTGAGAAGGGAGCCTGAAGCAGGCCTCGATTCCAGGATCCTGGGATCATGACCTAAGCTGAAGGCAGACGCTTAACTGACTCAGTCACCCAGGTGCCCTTATGTACTATTTCTTTAATTGCACTTTCCTGAAAATGGAAAATATGAATAACAGAGAAATACATATTGTCATGTTCCAGGACTTACTTAAAATGTTACTAAAGAAAACAACTTTGGGGGTGCCTGGGTGGCTCAGTCGGTTAAGTGTCTGCCTTCGGCTCGAGTCGTGATCCCAGGGTCCTGCGATCGAGCCCCGCATTCAGCTCCCTGCTCCGCAGGAAGCCTGCTTCTCCCTCTCCCACTCCCCAGCTTCTGTTCCTTCTCTCGTATCTCTCTCTGTCAAATAAAAAAAATCTTTAAAAAAAACCAACTTTGTTTTCAATATATTAACAGATATAAATCCAGAGTCCCATCTATCTTTTTTCCCCTTTGCCATGCCCAATTCTCTTTTTTTCTCCAAACCCCATCTCTTTATAAACCTTTATATTTACTTTATTCATGAGGGTAATTATGATTCTTTTCATTCTCTAAATTTATTTTGTAATTCTTTCATCCTCAGAGTGTATGTGCCACATAGTAAGAGTAAGGAGGAAATTAAATTGGATAAGCAATTGAGAATTTTATTTGTTTTCATGAAAATGTTCTTTTTTATCCAAAATAAGTTCCTCTTTATAAGGAAAAGATACTATTATAGGCCATAAGGGCCTCATAGTTGAGAAGACAGGACAAGAGCATATAAAAAATAATTCTAATTAGTATGAGCAATGCAATAAATTAGAATTATAGACCAAATGTTTGTAACCACCCTCCTCCTAATTCATATAAAGCCTTAACCCCCAGTGTAGCTATATTTGGAGATAGAGTTTTTGAAGAGGCTATTAGGGTCAAATAAGACACTAAGGGTGGGCTCCGAGCAAATAGGATTAGTGTCATTTTAGGAAGATACCAGAGGGGCACCTGGGTGGCTCAGTCAGTTAAGCGTCTGTCTTTGGCTTTGGTCATGATCCCGGGTCCTGGGATCGAGGCCCGCATCAGGCTTCCTGATGGGCGGGGAGCCTGTTTCTCCCTCTCCCTCTGCTTGCTGCTCCTTTTGCTTATGTGCGTGCTCTCTCTCTCTCTCTCTCAAATAAATAAATAAATAAATAAATAAACAAACAAACAAACAAATAAACCTGAAGAAGAAGAAGAAGAAGAAGACACCAGAGAGATCACTCTCTCTCCCTTTGTACTCAGGCACCAAGGAAAGGCTTTGTGAGGGCACAGTGAGAAGGTAGCAGTTTACAAGCCAGGAAGAGTTTTCATCAGCAACCAAATTTGCTGGCACCTTGATTATGGACTTCTTGCCTCCAGAACTGTGAGAAAATAAAGTTTTGTTGTTTAAGCCACCCAGTCTGTGATATTTTGTTATAGCACCTGAGCACACTAACAAAATTTAGTAACATTATAATAAATGCTATAGAAAGTCAAAACTCAAGGCTCTCTACATTTGGACTTTTTGTATTCACAGGATCTCAAGGTAAGGGAAAAAGGAATATACTCAAGACTTAAGTATATAAATTTCTATGGCAGAAATCCGCAATCCCCTCTCAAAACTCACTGTTTTCCTCTGGATAGTGGCAAATAAGAAGGAACATGGGAAATGAGGTGAGAAATACCAGTTGAGGTGCTAGAGCCAAATTTTACAGGATGCCCCATTTTGATGACTAAATGAAGAAAAATACGACAGGAAAGGAGGTGGTAAGGAAGAATCCCCTAAAGGATAGCAGTAAAATGTGATTTGTAGAAATCCAGAAGTCACCACAGAAGCAGTGAGTAGTTAATATCAAATATCACTAAGAGATGACTTTTTTATAACTCTAAGGATTACTCAGCAAAAAACCACCAATAGCTTTAGAAAACAAGGTGGACGTGGAAGCTGAGTTACAGGGGTGAGAGAGAAATTAAAGAGGATTGAGGGAGTATCTACTTGAAATAAAAAAGAGGAATTGCCTGAATATTAGATCTGTCTTCTCAGGATCTAAGATCTGATGCTAGTCAGCTAACTCCAGATGAGCCCCAGGTGCCTCCCTTCACTGATTCTGTTTTGAGTTCTTATACTTTGATATTCTACACTTATCTCCATGAAGCACCTAATTTTCTGAGGTTGCTAGAGACCTAAGGTTCACATAAAGGCAGCCCTTTGTCCCTTCCTCTAGATGGACAGGGAGGATTGGTAGTCACAATATGGTAATATAGTTCAGGTGAGGAGTGCAAACCTTAGGCTCATCAGCTAGGTTCAAATATCTGCTTTGCTACTTATTTGCTTTGCAGACTTGCACAAGTTACTTAAATGCTACAGACATTTTATCATCAACAAAATATAAAATGTAAAAAAAAAGTCAACTGTGAAGTTTGGAAATAGTATATATAAAACACCTGGTGAATTTAGAATGGAAGAAAGGGGTTCTACTTCCCTTCACTGTTAGGCATATACACTTTTCTTCCATACTTCCTTTGCTAGCCACAGAGTCACTTTTAGTCTCTTGGATCACTTCTCAGCTTGTTCCAATTTGAGCTATAATTCTCATTCAATTTAAGTCAGTTGTATAACCCTCTTTCCCCAAGGTATATATTTATATGAGAATCTTGTGATATAAACATTTATTTAATGGATCTCATTAAAAAATTAATGTCATCTAACAATTTAAAATTCCTGCATATAATAAATATTTCTGTATTGTTAATTTTTTATTTCTAAATTGAGAGATTTAACCTTATACTTTAAAAATATGATGAAAATCACTATACACAATGATCATATAGCTATATGAGTTATAGTTGAATTACATAATTTTACTAACTATGTGGCCTTAGGTAATTTACTTAAATTTTCTAGGCCTTAGTATCTTTATTTATAAAACTGACAAACAGTAGCATCTATCATATAAAGTTATTGTGACAAATAATATAACACAGGCAAAGCACTTAGCATGCTACTTAACACATAGCATTCAACAAATATTAATGCTGAAATCAAATAATTTATATTTTTATAAAATATATATTTAATAAAATATTTTATATGTATACAATATTTTATAAAATATTTTATATTTTATTATTTTTCTTTTTTAATGAAGGGAAGGACTATGATTCATGCTCTCCATGTGGCATCATTTTTCTTTTAGGTCTATGGAAGAAAGCTAATGATCTTCTCTCTTTAATGCATTATTCAATCATTATTCACCATAACTAGTGAAGGGGTTAAGCAGATTCCAGACTGATAACCCCTGATGGAAAAGCAATGCTTCCACTTCCCTTTCTCTTATTATTTCTTTTGCTTTTAAGCATGATAATTTTGATGCCAATATCTGAGAATATTAATTATTATTATATAATCAATTATATCAAAGACATACGTATGCTACAATTATGGGCATGAAGAAATATCCCAGTGAATTTAGGGACATTTTTCCCAATATACTTTGATACCACATCAGGTATCTTTATAAGACAGCTACTAACACTGGGTGTTATATGCAACTAATGAATCACTGAATCATTGAACACTACATCAAAAACTAATGATGTACTATATGTTGGCTAATTAAATTTAAAAAAAAAGACAGCCACTAACAATTGACTGGAGCGTATGCAATAGATAATCCCTGTTAGAAAACAACAAAAATCAAAGTTTTCAAAGAAGCAGCAATGTTCAAAAAAATCTTTTTTTTTTCTTTTTCGTTCTTTTTTGTTGTTGTTGTTAATGGAAAGGGTAAGAGGATGAGGACCCTTGAAGGTCAAGTCTTTCAATAGCACATACATAAACACACATACACACACACAGTTGCAGGCAAATTATCCTGACTCTTAATTCAACAGTACTTGTGACAGACATTGAAAAAATATAATCCGGGGCGCCTGTGTGGCTCAGTTGGTTAAGCGACTGCCTTCGGCTCAGGACATGATCCTGGAGTCCCAGGATCGAGTCCCGCATCGGGCTCCCTGCTCAGCGGGGGGTCTGCTTCTCCCTCTGACCCTCTTCCCTCTTGTGTTCTCTCATTCTCTCTCTCTAATAAATAAATAAAATCTTTAAAAAAAAAAAAAGAAAAAATATAATCCTTTTACTTATTAATATAAACCAGCAGCATATTATGATGAGGCCAAAGAACTAAAGAATTTTTAAAATATATATTTATAGATAGAATCGACTTTAAATTGTTTTCCAAATAGGTTCAGTTTGTAGAATAAGTAGCAAAAATGTAGGGTCTGTAGCAATGAAAGCTGTCCTATCAGTACCACGTGGACTTTATTAATAGTCTGTAAGAAAAGTTGACAATAATATATTTTGTATTCTCAGAGGGGATCTGTTATGCAATGCAAAGATATATATGTTTCCAAAGTTGTAATTTTGCAACTTTTTAAAAATTTAAGAACTCCAAATTTTAAATTGAGATGGCTTAATAAAAACACCTTAGTATCAGAGCATGCAGTGTCCGGAGAAACCATTTTATCTCCTTCCACGAAAAAAAGCCTCTGAAAATAAATTTTAGCTCACTTCCCTTTTTCTAATAAGTATATAAGACACGTAATCATGTCCCATCAGCAGTAGGCTATAAAAGACCCATAAGTAAAGAGATTCTTATTTTGTTTAATGCATACTTAAAACTTAGCAAAATGATCCTACAACTTGTGGATCTCTAGTAAATATCGACTGATCATAAGGATACTTGGCTGAGGAGATAAATCACATTACTGACAAAGAGTCAGAGATGCCAAGATATTACACAATTTATACACACTTCAGGGCCATTTTCAACCAAAATGTTAATAAACAGTTGTTTACTGATCACCAATGCTCATATATGTCATCAATGCTCATCATCATCTGGAGTGAGATTATAAATTGTATTTGTCTCAAATGAAGGGGTAACATATTTGATTCTAACTATATGCCAACTATATCCACTATTTTTCAAATGGAAGATACCATAATAAGCAGTGCAGTACAAATTTAATTCAGATTTAAAAACAGAGAGATAAATGTTCACCTCTATAGCCAAAAATAATGCAAAGAACAAATTCTATGGGTTTTGAATCACAAATGTAACCCCCAGTTGTATTTTTTTTTAAATTTTTTTTAAGATTTACTTATTTGAGAGAGAGAAAGAGAACACACAAGCAGGGGGAGAGACAGAGGGAGAGGGAGAAGCAGGCTCCCCGCTGAGCAGGGAGCCCGATGCGGGGCTCCATCCCAGGACCCCGAGATCATGACTTGAGCTGAAGGCAGCCACTTAACCAACTGAGCCACCCAGGCGCCACCCCCGCCCCACGTTGTATTTCTAAATGTCTTTTCAATGTATATTTTTGGGGTGGGGGTGACTGGAGGATCCAATATTTTGAACTAAAAGGCCACCAAGCCAACACACAGAACTATCTCCTAGGATACTACTAGAGAGTCACTTCTTAGAGAAATGGAACAAACTAATTCAAAGAAGCCAGAGTGATTTTATGTATTATTCTTTATTCCTGTCTAGATTATGGAGATACTTATTTTGACATTTGTGATAGGAAGTGACTTAGGCTGCCTGCATATTGTGAATATACACCCAAGGGATGACTGCCAGTCTAAGTATCCTGTACATATAGAGAAAAGACCTTTTGGTGGAAGAAAACTATAAATTAATTAGCATAGTCATGGGCGCCTGGGTGGCTCAGATGGTTAAGCGTCTGCCTTCGGCTCAGGTCATGATCCCAGGGTCCTGGGATCGAGTCCCGCATCGGGCTCCCTGCTCCTTGGGAGCCTGCCTCTCCCTCTGCTTCTCTCTCTCTCTCTCTCTCTGTCTCTCATGAATAAATAAATAAAATCTTTAAAAAAAAAAAAATAATTAGCATAGTCATGAGGATCACTAGATATTTAAGGAACCCAACACACACACACGCACACACACACACACAGAGGAAAGAATAGGATTGGGGGGGAAAACGATGTTAAGGCAAACAGATATTTTAGAAAACACAAAAATTTTTAAAATTCTATTTAGATAATGATATTGACTACATAAAAGAGAATACTGTTTTGATAAAAGACTTATTAGGGACTCAAAAAGATATTAGTGAAAATGAAAGATAGGATAGCTAAAATAAAAGATTTAGTAGAATAGACAAGGAAAGTCAAAGAAATTTTCTGAAAGAAAAGAGAAGGGTAGGGAAAGGGGAAAAGGAAGGAAAAAAGATATGCATCACTGGTCATTATTTCTTCAACTGTCTCTCCTTTTGGAACTCCAATTAACTATGTATTGGTCAACCCATTTTTATCCTCTATGTATCTTAATTTATCTTTCTTATTTTCCATTTCTATATGATGTGTTTGAGTCATCTCTTCAGACACATATCTTCCAATTCTCTCTTCAGCTCTACTTTAATATATAATGTGTTTTAATGATTGCCTTATGAAAAATCTATAGACATTTACAAGTATTTCTTTCAGAATATCTCTATTACCTGTAATTCTCTGTGAATTCTACCATTTTTGTGACTACTGTTGTTCTCTTGGCTGTTTATATACTGAACTCAACTTCAGAAAGTTTACAGTGGGATTTATAGGTTCTCTGGAATAGGAAGGAACTCCTATAATGTGGTTTTACAATCACCTTTTTCAAGACCTAACATGTTTCACTTTGGGAAAAGTGCAATTTTTATGGTTATTGATGTTAATTACTCACTTTTAGGATACTGTATTGAATGAATTGTCTCAGCTATGAGTCCAGTTTCTCTCTGGATGAGTGATTCTTTCCAGCTATGCCTTGAATACAAAGTAAGCTCCCTGCTTCTTGCAGTACCTTGACTCTGCCAGGTAAAGATTTTCTGACTGCTGTTTCATGGAAAATAGGCTCCTGTCTTTATGTAGGGTACTCAGGTTTAGCTCCTATTCATAGACTGGGCAAGGGCATTATCTCTAGGCTGTATGTATACATTCAATCTAAATCAGGACTATTATCTTCCACAGCTCAAGAGCCAGAACTTATGTGTGTGAATACTGGGCATTACTGAAGCACTGCTCAAGACTATACTTTGAATACCTGATTTCAATATATTATGGGAAATATATAAAATATACATATTTGGCTTTAGTATTTCTCATTGTTTGGTTTTTACTCCTCTTTTATGTTTGCAATTTAGGATTTCATGTCTTTAACTTCTAACTCAAGTGGGCATTTTTAAAAATTTGGTTATGTTTTATCTGACATTTCTATGTTTAGAATAGTAGGGCAGATTTCCCTAATCATGTCATAGTCTGTTGGATCATGTTACATGACACATTTTTAAATGGTAAAAAAAAAAAATACTTTCCCACATTTAATTTTTTTGTGATTTTTATCTTTGACATGCAATAATAAAGTACTAAGGTTTCCTTCATGAATATTAGTTTTTCTTGTACTGTATTTGACTTTATAAGTAGAATTCAGAATAAGTTTTACTTTGAGATTAAGGGGAAAAGATTAGGTATTACACTTACTTGGCAAAGTGATAGTTTCTAGTAGCTCACGGATTGGCTAAAAATGCCCAGTCTCCTCATTGATCAAAATGTTTTATTATCCCTATATCTAATCAACGTGAAATGTGTAGGAAATTATAATCCTGAAGTAACCTAAAGGCATATTTCCATTTCAGCCTAAAAAATATTAGCCTTGGTTCAAGCTGCATATAAATAAGTATAATAAACAAAAATAAAACAAAAATAGCTTTTGTTAGTTTTAATAGTTTTAAGTATGTAATCTTACTACTATAAAACAGTTTATTCTGAAATAAATTCTACTTCTATCATTCATATACTCAACCCAAGAAGATTTTCTTCAGGTTTTTTTAGCCACAATTTCAATTATATTTGGTGTCTAACTTATGCAAATAAAATATAAGTGCCCATTTACTGTTACAACAATTTTGAAAAAGTTTCTATAATTTTCTGTATTTATTTGCTCCTGAAAGTGATACAAGCTTATTTATTAACTTATTATTAACTGTGTTAAAATATAATAAAATGTCCACTTTTAATCATGTGTTACTAACATACTCACAGTTACATCATATTTAAAAGAGAATACATTTTATTCCTCAATATATCAATTCTAAGTTTATTATTTCCTGCCACATTTCCAATAGTAGTAAATAATTGTATGATTAGATTACAGATTGGAGCATTTACTCTTTTCAGAGTACTTTGACATATTTTTGTGATTGTCCTAAAACCTTGAAATGTGTTTACAATCTTCCCAATTTTGCCCATGAGGACATAAAGAGCTTCTAAAGGTCAAGTTTAGTTTCTTGCCCAAGGTCACAATGCTAGCAAAGTAAAAAGTCAGGTCCCTAATGTAGATCTTCTGTCTCCGAAGCCCATACTCTGTATAGTAGAATGGAATGCCTCTCCTGTTCTCCAATTAAAAATATTACTGTTTGATGAAATCACATTTTATATTCTCTTGCCTGAGATAAATTACAAGTCTTATAATTCAATTAATACAGTTATGCCACTGGTTACAAGAAATCCAAGTTATTTTGAGTGGGTGGATGAAATCTGTTGAAAGTGAGATTTTTTTTTATTGTCATAATGTTTTCTGGCTATTGTTACAGGCTGATTATCAAGATTACATCTTGTATTTGGCCAAAAAAAAAAAAAAAATCAGCGACACATTGAAAACTTGAAGCATGAGCCTACAGCTGTGCACCCTGCACAGCTGACTGAAGACCATAAGGTCAAGGTCAGTGGAAAACCTGCCTCATTCTCTCTAACAGATGCAAACTTTCATTTAGAGAACTTGTGCAGTGATATAGTCATAATGGGATATTTCTCTGTGGACCAGATTTTTTTTTTTAATAAATGCAATCTACTGCTAAAAATTCTTTTTCATGTGCATATTTCCTTTCACTGGGAACTTAATGACACAATGAAATGCTCCAAGAATTGCAAAACAGAATTTTTACATTTTAGATGTTTCATTATTTCTGTGTTGCCTTAAGTGAATCATGAGACCTTATAGCTTACTTGGTCTTGTGGTACTAGATTCAAATGATTCTGAGATTTTTAAAAATCAGGTGCTAACCTTTCTGAGCTTTTGGAATCCTTCTCCATTATCATTCATCTTCTAAAACTCTAGACTAAGATAGGATGTTCAAATTGAAACTGAACCAAAACAATCATGGCACCCAGGACTACACCTTCCTTTCCAGAATTTCATTCCAGAGGTATTTCAAGGGAAAAACACTTGTATTACACAGCACCTGCTATATGCCAATTGCTGACAAAAGTGCTTTACTTATTTTTATTTAATTACTCCAACAAACCAATGAGGGAGATAGACTACAGCAAAAGATACTGAGGCTCAGAAAGCTAATAACCCATGCATAATCACAAAGGTAGTTAATGGAGGAAATGAATTCTAATGCATGACAAAAATAACCAAGGCCACATTCTGCTAAGCTTCTACTATCTGTTTTCCAAATATTAAACAGAATTCACTACTACAATGTCTTGGGCATCATCCAAAATAAACTCAATAGTGTGCTTTGATACCTTCCAGGGGTTATTCCCCTGAAATTTGCTTTCCTTTTGGAATTGACTTTGACTTCATTTTGGGAAGAGAAAGAGAGAGGCCCCTAAGGTGAAAAAATTTATTTCCCCACCCATAAAACGATCCAAGTCTACTCATGCCTCCTTCCCAATTGTCTCCTTGGATATTTCCCTTTGCCTTGTCACTCAGGCCAAGACATCTGCTGTTCTCTGGACCCTTGAAGGCTTGCACTTGCTTCCACTCTATTGGTGCTTTCTCTTCATGTCTCTCCTGTCATTAAAAACTAGCAAAAGAAAAAATTAAACCAATAAAATATTAAGAGCTTGGAAAGGTCAAGTTTATAAGAGTAATAAAATTCTTTGTTCTCATATACACTTTTAATCATTGCCTTCTTTTCTTTTTTACTTAGTTTCTTCTTTATTAAGAAATATATGTATTTCAGCTTGCTTTTCATACATTCATTCCTACTTATGCTATAATCTTATTCCCTCTACTATCACCAGCTAAAACTATTCTCACTAAGGTCACCAATAGCCTCACTATTACTAACATCAAGGGAAGGATTTGTCTTCCTCTTCTCATCTACATTTGATGTTGTCATTTAACTGTTCCTTCTTTGATTTTTATGGTAGTAGTACCCTCTGAATTTCTTACCACTTCTCTTACTATTTATTCATTCAAAAATACTTAGAGCTTAGTATTATAAATTACAGTAAATGAGACAGAAAATTTCTTCCTTTATGGTGGTTTCAGTCTAATGGTAAATACAGAAAAGACAATTATATGGAGCCAAAACAATTATAATTAAGTGCTAAACTGAATGAAGTACCAGATATCATGGGAGCACACAGAGGTATTCCTAGTTTGGGTTTTTCCTGGTAGCCATATGCACCCACCCTAACTTTCACGGTTTCAAAGAATAATGATTTCCAGTCTTTTTCTTCAGCTCATATCTCTGGAGTACACACCTATGTGCCCATTTGTCCACTAGACAGCTCCAGTTTTACATCCCACAGACACTTCAAATTCAACTTGTCCCAAATGGATTTCAACATAATCCCTGTCAAAACAAACTATTCCTTAGTATTCCTTGCATTGATTAGTGGCATCATTGACCTTCAAAATTTGCCAAATATAAAACCTAGTGATTATCCTTGGCTCCTTTCTCTCACTTGTATCTCACATCAGTAAATTACCAACTCATTTTGATCCAGCCACTTATATGTGCCATTTCTTTTCATTCCCATGGCTACCACTATTGTTCACGCCACCAGAATCTCTCACTTAGATAAATTCAGGAATGTCATAACTGCTGTCCCTTCCTTTAAACCAGGAGTAAACAACTACAGCTTATGGGCAAAACTGTCTATTGCGAATTTGTGTAAACAAAGTTTTATTGAAATATATCTACCCCCATCATTTACTTACTATACATGTCAGCTTTCACACTACAGCAATAGAGTTGAGTAACCATTAGGGACCATATGTCACACAAAACCAAAAAGATTTACTTTACTATCTGGCCCTCTACAGAAAAATTTTGTTGACCCTGATATAAACTGGCCCTCTCTACTCTCTCTTCCATACTGCTGTTAAGACATTTTTCCTAAAGAGCAAATATGATCATTACACTCCTCCCATTTAAAATTAGGGAAGTTCTCTCTATATCCTTCGAAGTGTTAGACGTCTTCTTCCAGTTCAGGATAATGATTGATCTGGTTAGTTTAGGATTAATAGGAACCCTCCACTGTTGCTGGATTCTTAGAAGTGGGATTTCTGGATCAAGGGGTAAAGGTATATGTAATTTTATTAACTATTTCCAATGTTTCACCTCTTTGTTTTATATTGTTTTACATATTTTTGTATTCTTACGTAAAATGTATGTGTTGTTTTCTCACAGTCTTATCAATGGTATATGTGGTCAACATCAAGAATTTTTGCCCTATCTAGGGGTGCCTCGGTGGTTCAGTCAGTTAAGTGTCTGACTTTTGATTTCAGCTCAGGTCATGATCCCAGAGTTGTGAGATGGAGCCCCATGTCGGGCTCCACACTGGGTGTGAAATCTGCTTAAGATTCTCTTTCTCCCTCTCCCTTTGCCCCTCACCCCTCCGTCTCTTAAAAAAAAAAAAAAAAAGAATTTTTGCCCTATCTTCCCAATACTCTTGCCACCAGAGTTCAAGTAAGGGTTATAAAAATAAGCCTTGGAGACTTCTAACAGGTTGAAACTGGAGTTTTAATTTTTTTTAAATGCACTATTGGGATGTTCTATAGCAAAAGACTCATATAATGCTACCTTACACAATACTTGCTCTCTAGCTGAGATCTATAACAGTTTCTTCTCCAAGAAGGACATGGCCCTGAAAGTGGTTTGTCTAGACCTGAAACAATAACACCATTAAATTCATATTTTAACTTTTCCCCTCTGTTCTTTCAGTAAGGGGGTGGTGAAAGTAATGTGGGAATACAGTTGAAGTTTTTCTAAGTTTGGTCATATCATAGTTTAAGATTTTGGGACCCTATACATCTACATATTCTAGAATAGTTGTGTATAAGCTCTCACACCAAACTCATAATGAGCACAGAATAAAATTTCGAAGTCTCACTGTGATTGACAAAGCTCATGCTTAATTTTGAGTTCAAATTTCTTATCTCATGTTTGTAATACCTTATTTCCTCTTCTTTACATAGCTAATTAATTCCTTCATATTCTTGAGAACTTCTTCGCAGCACTCACCTATCCTTCATGCCAAACCTAGGGTAGAATGTATTTCCTTTGTACTTTCAGAGTACTCTGCATGTGCCTAGCATTTATTTCAAATCATTGTAAATCTCTGCATAATTCTTTGTAGTACATTCTATGTATTATATTATACACATTATAAATATCTTGACAATAAAAAGTGGGTCTAGTCACTGCAATTCCAGACCCATTATTTACAGTAGTTACTCAATAAATATTAATCAAAAGAATAAATGTCTATGAAATTACTAGTATAAAGAACTGAGTCTGTGATTATGGGCACTTTAGGTTCATGGCAATGTGAAAGTACTTGTGATGACAAGAGGTCACCAGTGTCAAAGTGCAAGCATATGCTATTTATTAATTATTAATTTACTAATTCATGTGGAAAATACTTATTAAGTGCCAATGATGTTCTAGACCAAAAAGATGCTAGGGATATAAAACTAAGCAAAATCAGGGCGCCTGGGTGGCTCAGTCGTTAAGCATCTGCCTTCGGCTCAGGTCATGATCCCAGGGTCCTGGGATCGAGTCCCACATCGGGCTCCCTGCTCGGCGGGAAGCCTGCTTCTCCCTCTCCCACTCCCCCTGCTTGTGTTCCTGCTCTCGTTATCTCTCTCTCTGTCAAATAAATAAATAAAATCTTAAAAAAAAAAAAAACTAAGCAAAATCATACAAGATTACTGTTCTTCATGGAGTTTATGACTGGGAGGTGGGTAATTACAAATTGGGTATATAATTAGAAATTGAGATGAGTTATATGAAGGAAAGGAACATGGTTTTATAAGACTGAATAAAAAAAAGGAGCCTGGCTTAGATCCTAGGATCAAGGACTCTGCCTTGAAGTAGTAACTTTTAAGCTAAGCTCTAAATGATGAGTAGCAGTTAATCAGGCACAGGGGGAAGAGATGGAGAGCTTTCTAATCTGAACAATGGAGAGTGATAACATACCATTTTGAGGAACTGAAGAGGTCAGTATGGTTGGAGCAGAGAATGAGCAGGATCATGGTGGCACTGAAGCTGGAAAACTAGTTAGGAGAAGACTGTACAAGACCTTTTATTCATTTTAAGGGTTCATTTCTCATCCCCTAGCAGTAATAGATACCCACTGAAGATTAAGAGTTCCAGTATGAGAGGGAGTTATTCTCAGACTGGCATATATTTATCCTTTGACCCAGAAATCTTATCTCTAAGAATCTTACCCCAATGTCATACTGGCAAGAATACAATGAACTGAGTACATAAAACTATTGATTTTGCATTATTTGAAATAGCTAAAAACTTGAAACAAATATGTCTATCCACAGGGAACTGGTTGGGTGAACTGTGGTATTTCTACATAAGAGACTACTATGCAGCTAGAAAAAGAAATGATGAATATATTAAACAGGGTTCTCCAGAGAAAAGAACCAATAAGATAGATAGATAGATAGATAGATATATATATATA